GTTGCACATAAAACTGCTGCAAGTGTTTGCCAGCCAGGTGTGGTGGCACACACCTGTAATCCCAGCACTCAGCTGAGGCAGGAAGATCGCTGTGAGTTTGAAGCCAGCCTGGGCTACATAGTGAAGTTAAGGCCATCCTGCACTACATAGTGAGACTGTCTCAGAACAAAACCCTACACACCTTTTGTGTTGATGTATGCCTTCCCTTATATTGGGTGACTACCTAGAAATATAATGACTGGGTCAGAATGTAGGTATATATTTAGCTTTGGGGGGATGCGGTTTTTTGAGATAGTTCTTACTATGTAGTTTGGAAAACTGTCACTGTCATGCAAGCTAAACATGTCATGAAAGGTGGCACACGCCTGTAATTCCAGCACTTGGGAGGCTGAGGCAGGAGGATTGCTGCAAGTTTGAGGCAAGTATGAGCTACAAAGTGAGGTCAGGGCCAGCCTGAACTACAGAGCAAGACCTATCTCAAAAAAAAGTATTGTAGGGCTGGGGATTTAGCTCAGTGGTTCCACTGCCTGCCTTGCAAGTGCAAGGTCCCAAGTTTGATCCCTGGTACCATTTAAAAAAAAAAAAAAGTATTATAGGTCCTTGTCTCAAACCAAGAACTGAAAGGCACAAGTCAAAAAGAGTGCGAAAAATTTATTTCAGGGGCCAGGGATTTAGCTCAGTGGTTCGGTGGCCTGCCTTGCAAGCGTGAGGACCTGAGTTCAATCCCCGGTACCAAAAAAAAAAAAAAATTTATTTCAAAGGTAAGGGGTGATGCCAGATGTGGTGATGCAAATCTGTGATCCCAGCACTTAGGAGGCTGAGGCAGAAGGATCACAGTGAGTTTGAGGCCTGGATCACATAGTGAGTGCAAGGCCAGGCTGCAGGACTACATAGAGACCTTGTCTTTAAAAAAAAAAAAAAAAAAAAAAAAGCCATGAAGGGGTAAAGGGAAAAAAAAAGGTAGACTACTATATTGAGAGTCAAGATAGCAGGCTTCACCTGCTGTCTGATCTCCTTTATGCTAGCCACATCCTGTGGAACCTGGGAGAAGTCCTTCACATGGAGTCCTGAGAATCATTTGGCTCCTTGCTGGGATCTTGAAATGAACAGGCCCCGCCCACCTCTCCAACCATGCTCCACCTCCTGTGTCCCTGTGGAATCTAGAAAAAGTTACTAGGACTACTAAGTGAATCTAATGAAGTTGCAGGCTATATGATCAGTATACAGCGCTGGGGGTGTAGCTCCATGGTGCCATGCTTGCCTGGCAAGTGTAAGATCCTGAGTTTAATTCCCCATACAGGAAAAGAAAAATCTAACATTAAAGTCGGGGAGGGAGCATGAAAAAAAGAAGGTCAGTATACAGAAAAAATCCACTGAATATTTACATCAGCAATTATACATATTTGGGTATAAATGTTAAAATTATATATACTAGCAGTGCACAATCCAAAATTAATATTAAGAGGGCCCAGAATGTAGCTCAATGGCACCACACCTACCTGGCAAGTGCAAAGGTCCTGAGTTCTATCCCTGGTACCAGGAGAAAAAAAAAAGAAAAATTAATATTAAAATGCTGTTTACTCATAGCATCAAACATGTGCCATACCTAGGAACATACCTGACAGAAGTCATGTAAGACCTGCACATTGAAAAGGAAAACACAATACTAAAGAAAATAAAAGAAACCTAAATAAATGGAGAGATGTAAGTGCACATAGGTCAAAAGATTCGATGTGGTTATCAGCTCTGCAGAAATTTTTATTGTTTAATGTAATAACAATCAAAGTTCCAATAGGCTTTTTGTTCTTTTTGTTTTGTGGTACTGGGGACTCCACCCAGGGCCTTGTGCATACTAGGTCAGGACTGTACCGCTAAGCTACATTCCCATCTTTTTTTCCTTTTAATTCTGAAATAGGATTTCATTAAATTGCTCAGGCTGGCCTGGGGCTTGCTGTCCTCCTGCCCCACTTTCCTAAGGAGCTGGGATTATAGGTATATACCACCGCACCAGCAGGCTTTTCTTACAGGATTGACAAACTGCTTCTAAAATTTGTATAAGCTGGCCGGGACTGTAACTCAGTGGCACCGCACCTACCTCACAAGTGCACGGTCCTGAGTTTGATCTCTGGAACCAAAAAAAAAAAAAAATGTGTCTGAGCCAGGCAAGGTGGCACATGCCTGGAATCCCAGTCTTCGGGAGGCAAAGGCAGAAGGATCGCTGTGAGTTCGAGGCCGGCCTGGGCTGCATGGTGAGTTCAAGGCCAGCCTGAACTACAAAGCAAGCCCCTGTCTCAAAAATAAATAAATGCAATTAATCATTAAAATTTATATGAAAACGCAAAGGACCTAGAGTAACCAAAAAAGACAGAGGACATACACTACTTGTGTTTAGAACATCGTGGCGCTATGGGGAGCAAGACACTGCAGTGTTGGCATAAAGATGGGCAGGTGGGTGGATAGGGCTGAAGAGTCCAGACGTAAATCTACTTCTGTGAGACCAATTGATTTTTTTTTTTTTTTTTTCC